GATTTGACGGACGACTAGTTTTAGGACTTTTTGTTTCATTCTTTTGTATTTTTGTTTTGGCATTTTTGTATTTGATCAATAGATCCATGTCATTTGTACTTCTAATGTAACATTGTTGATGAAATACAAAAATGGATTTTCCTTTGAACTTTTATTGCAATTTTTGTATGTTTTTGTTTACAACTGCTGGGTAACACCTGAAGCAAAATAATATTACACACGTTAACTGTAAAACTTTCTAAGATTCTGTACGTTCCAAAGGTAAGATAACTGATGCCCATGTATATCTGCTAACATGTAAGAACCAGGTCGTTTAACTTGAACAACCATATAGGGGTCTTCCCAATTAGGAGCGAGCTTGCCCATATGCGAATGGGTGTTAGTTAACCCAGCTTTACGTAGGACCAGATCGCCAACTTGAAATTGGCGAGCTCGAACTCTTTTATTGTAAAATTTTGCAACGCGACTTTGATGTGCCATGTTTCTTATTCGGAACATCTCCCTGATTTCTTCCACAAGGTCTAGGTTTTCTCTTAAGAGCTGTTCATTATTCTGATCGTCATGACGATCTGATTTATCGGATGGCAACCCGACCTCGACGGGGATAACAGCCTCAGCTCCATATGCCATACTGAATGGGGTTTCGCCTGTGGCTGAGCTGGGTGTAGTACGACATGACCACAGCACTTTATTGAGCTCGTCAACCCAATTAGTATGTGCAGCCAAAACGCGCGTTTTGAGTCCCTGCAAGATGATTTTATTAACGGACTCAGCTTGCCCATTGGACTGTGGAGTGTACACAGATGTCAAGGCCAGCTCAATGCCGTAGTCGTTACAAAACGATCTCAGTGCAGCTGCTCGGAATTGTGGCCCATTGTCGGCGATAATCCGCTTAGGTATGCCGAACCTGCACACAAATGAGCGAGCTGAGCTACAAATCGCGTTTGCATTTGTTTTATTTATAATCTCGGTCACCAAAGAATACCTGCACAATATTGAATTGAACATGAATTCTTCTATTTTTCTTTCTGTTGTCGTGGATAGCGGTTTAGCTTCTATCCACTTAGTGAAGTAATCCACTGCGACGACCAGAAAAGTGCAGCCTCCCTTGCCTTTGGTGAAGGGGCCGAGCAGGTCGACACCCCACTGGGCAAAGGGCCAGGGAGACGTGAGAGATGATAACATTTCTCCTGTTTCAAGGAAGATATTTATGCTAAGTTTTACGATAAACAGGAAGTTTGCATGATCTTTAGGACAGGCTCAGGTACCTGGCATGTGTATATCATCAGCATTGAACTGGCAGGTCGGACACTTTTTGGCATAGTTCTGTGCGTCCTCGACCATAGTAGGCCAGTAGTAACCATGCCTCAGGAGTTTCCGAGCTAAAGTCTTGCCACCTATGTGCGTGCCACATACTCCTTCGTGAACTTCTCTCACAGCGTATTCAGCTTCGTAAGGGGTAAGGCAGCGTAATAGGGGCATAGAGGCTGCCCGTTTGTAGAGCTGGTTTTCTAACAAGGTGAAATGTGCCGCCCTGCGCTTAATCACTTTTGTAGCGGACTGGTCTTCAGGTAGCTCGCCACTTTGTAGATAATTTATGAGCGGGGTGGTCCAGCTCGGTGTAGAGGGATCTGTACTTAGCAATTGACACTCGATTGTGAAATCAGTGTAGCTTGGTGCGTCGAGTACCTCGACAATTGTTGATCTCTGAGGGTTAATGTCCTGCGAGGAGGCCAACTTTGACAGCTCGTCAGCTCGGTGGTTGTCTGCTCTTGGTATTTTATCGATTTGGAAAAGGGCAAATATCGATTTCAATTTGTTGACCACAGAGGCATAACGACTGAGCTGGGGATCCCTGATGTCGCAGCTGCCATTCACCTGGCCCACTACAAGCTGTGAGTCGCTGAAAACCTGAATATTTTGTACTTTCAGCTCGGACGCCAGCTTCAGTCCGTAAATGAGGGCTTCATATTCTGCAGCGTTATTGGTCGTCTGAAACTTAAACCTCAGTGCATGCTCAGACTTGAAGCCATCTGGGCCTAGTAACACAGCCCCAGCACCCGACCCTTCAATGTTTGCTGCTCCATCAACATACAAAACCCAGACTGGGTGTTTAGGTGTTGTCTCTTTGTTAGTTATTGAGGTGCACTCTACCAAGAAGTCCGCAACGGCCTGGCCTTTTATGGTTGTGCGCGGCCGAAATTTCAGGTCATATTCACTTAGCTTGACACTCCATCCAATAAGCCGACCAGAGAGTTTAGGTTTCTGCAGTATTTTTCTCAACGGCAGATCAGTATAGACAACAATTTGATGTGATTGGAAGTAAGCTCTCAGCTTACGAGCCGTGTAAACTAAGGCAAAAGCAGCCTTCTCTACTAGTGGGTAATTCTGCTCGGCACCTTGTAACACCTTGCTCACATAGCAGACAGGCTTCTGACTCTTATTCTCTTCCCTTAGCAGCACTGAACTCACCGCTTCTTCTGTGACCCCCAGATAAAGATATAAACATTCCTCGTCGACAGGCTTTGACAGCAGGGGTGCAGATGCCAAATACTGTTTGAGTTCGTCAAACGCCTGTTGACATTCGCCAGTCCACTGAAAGTTTTTAGGCTCCCGCAGGGCTTTGAAGAACGGAAGGCACCTTTCTGCCGATCTGGCTATAAACCTGTGCAACGCAGCCACCCGACCTGTCAAACGCTGTACATCTTTTACAGTCTTCGGAGACTCCATCTGCTGAACGGCCTGGACTTTCTCTGGATTTACTTCGATTCCTTTCTTGGATACCACGTACCCTAGGAATTTCCTTGATTCTACAGCAAACGTGCATTTCAAGGGATTCAGCTTCATTTGGGCTCGACGCAAGTTTTGAAAAGTTTCATCCAGGTCGTCGATGTGATCCTCAGCTCGCATGCTAGTGACTATCATGTCATCTACATACACTTCTATGTTTCTGCCGATCTGGAGCTTAAAGATGATTTGCACCAGCTTCTGGTATGTTGCTCCAGCATTTTTGAGGCCAAATGGCATCATGACATAGCAGTATATTGTGTCATCAGCATAAAAAGCTGTTTTTTCTTGGTTGTCTAACAACAGCTGCACCTGGTGGTAACCTGAGCTGGCGTCTAGGAAACTCATCCGTTCGTGTCCAGCTGCCCGTTCTACCAACTTCTCGACGTTTGGTAACGGATGAGGGTTTTTTCGACATGCGTCATTGAGGTTGGTGAAATCAATACACATCCTCCACTTGCCATTTGGCTTTTTAACGAGCACGGGGTTAGATACCCATTCAGAGTACTCCACTCTTCTAATGAAGCCTGCCTGTAACAGCTTTTGTATCTCCTCGTCTATGGCGGCTTGTTTCTCTGGGCCAAAAAGGTGACATTTCTGCACCACCAGCCTTCTGGTGGGATCTGTGCTGAGTTTGTGGACTGTCAACTCCGCCGGGATGCCAGGCATTTCATCAGTAGTCCACACGAACACATCTTGATTGACCCTCAAAAACTCCAGAAGCTCTGCTCGTTCTTCTTTTGTGAGTTTGGTGCCTATCTTTACTGTTCTTTCCGGCACATCAGGGTTTAAAGGAACGGTTTCCATTGGCTCTACCGGCTCTGCTTTCTGCTCGACACCCTCAGGTCTATGCTCATTGTCTGCTGGTCGGGCTGAGTCGGCCTACTACTTTCAGATCCTCCATGGGCTACCGCGAGCTCAACCTTCTTGAACGTATCCTTATAACATGCCCTGGCCATCTTCTGATTCCCCTTCAGCACTCCCACCCCCTGAGGCGTTGGGAATTTCATGCAGAGATGGGGTTGTGAGATGACAGCCTTCAGTTCGCACAAAGTAGCCCTTCCTAGTATGGCGTTGAAGGCTGATTCCATTTTGACGACCAGGAAGCTGACTGAGGCCATCCTGAAGTGTGGTTCTGAGCCCACGTAAATGGGAAGTGTAATTACTCCCTCCACTGGAACAGGTTGATTGTCGAACCCATATATAGGCCTTTCGTATTTTTGTAACGAGCTGGGGTTCAGTTGCATCTTTTGAAAGCAGCTCCAATACAGGATATCAAGCGAGCTCCCAGTGTCAATGAAGACCTTATTGACGTTATGGTTGCCTATATGGACTGTTGCTGCAAAAGGATCCGCATGAGGCATCACGACGTCAGGCTCTCCTGCTCGCTGGTAATCTGCCGGGCTAAACGTTATGGCCGCATTCTCCCACTCTGCCTCTTCAAATGGACGCTTAAGAGGCCGGTTCTTATTTACTGTCATCACTTGGCGAGCGTACACCTTGCGGGCTGGGGCGCTTTGACCTCCTGCATGTATACCACCAGAGATCATATTGATTGTGCCAGATGGGGGGGGTATTCCACCGTACCCGACTCCTCTGTTGTCTTTTTGGTTCTGCGTAGGTGCTTTCTGTCCTTGCCCACGCCTATTGAACGGGCGTCCTCTGTATGCTCTATTCGGCTCAAATGAGTACGGACCTGTCTGGTAAGAATTTGGATTGCTACCGAGCTGATACCTAGGTGCTTGAGGTCAGCCGTACTCTTGTACAAAATGGGTCTGGGCGGGTTGCCGAACAAAAGGCTTCTGCACATACCCCTCCAATTTTCCATTGTGAGCCAAGAATTCGAGCTCGTCCTTCAGATTCTGACAATCTTCTGTGTTATGGCCGTAGACACGGTGATAGTCGCAGTATTTGCTTCTGTTAGCTCGTGAAGAATCATGTGTTTGTGGAGGGGGTCTCTTGACCCAATACTGTATTTGCGACAATATTTGGGATCGTGACGAGCTCAGGGGTATATAGCTGTCATATTTTGGATAAGAGGGTGGTTTCCCTCTCTGCTCGCCAACCTTCTGTTTCTTCTTGTCATCTTTGTTTTCAGGCTGCTTGGGTTCTTTTCCGTGCCTGTCATCAGCGCGTCTCTTAGAAGATTGAAAATCTTCGGACAATATGAAGCTCGCCTACCTGTCATTTACTTCATTCCATGACCTAGGTGGATTCTCCAGCAGGTCATCCAAAAACCGGCCAGGCTTCAGGCCATGCAACAAGGCAGATAAGCAAATGGTATCGGGGATGTTATCAATGTCCAAAGTAGCTTTGTTTGAATCGTTGCATGTAGTCCCTCAAAGACTCTCCCTCTTTTTGATGAACCTGCATTAGTTCAGTCGCTGTACGTTTAATCTCCCTTTGGCTCGCAAATTTGTTGGAGAATAGCTTGGCGAGCTGGGAGTATGAGTCTATGGAATGTCTGGGGAGTTTGTGATACCATCTCCTGGCTGTTGTCTTAAGTGTTGCTGGGAACACTTTGCACATCATGGCATCATTGGCGTTTTGGATTCTCATGATGGCTTGATAAGTGTGCAGATGTTCATCCGGGTCGCCCGAGCCATCATACGTCTCTAAATGGGGAATTTTGAATCCCTCTTGATACGGTTCTGCTGTGATGAATAGGTTCAATGGGGTGCTATCTAAATCAAGAGTTTGCTGATACGACCTGGGACTTTTCAGCTCGTCTATAGACTTTTGTACCTCTCGTAGCTGCCTTTCAAGGTCTGCGTTCTTTTTCAACAGTTCTTCGCTGTGCTTGGATGAGCTGGGCTCGATATTTAGCTTTCCACTTCCCCTTGGCTTGGTCGGCACCACTATGTTGCTTAGAGCAGGGGAGTTTCGAGTTGCAACAACCGCAGCTGGTTGTGCATCCCTGTTCAACAAGGGAATCAGGGGGTCATTAGGAATCAGACGGGCAAGGATTTTTCCCATTGCCATTTCGAGAACTCTGGTTCTCTCTCTTCGAGCTCGGTAGTCCGAGCAGGTTTTGTTGACCTTTCAGGTCGTTCACGCTGTGAATTGTATGGTCTAGAAGGTCTCAATCTTGTTCCTGTTGGAACTTGGAACTGTTCAGGCTGGGTTGCATACCCAGTTGGTGTTCTTTCATCATCATCTGTTTCGCTTAGGTGATCCTGTTCTGCTCCCCCAACAAAAAGGTTTCTGGGCATTGGTCTAAAATCATTTAAGCCGGGCTCAGATGCTTGAGCGTCCTCCTGTTCGTCCATCTCATTTCTTGGAGGGCGACCTCTTGTAAAAGTACGGACCATTTTGTCTTTCAGCAGGTTAAGTCACACAACTTCTTGTTCGGTTTCCCACAGACGGCGCCAATGTTTCGGCAGCTTCGCAGTCCAACACTGTTGAAGTCCTCAGCTGCTTCTACACCTGAAAATCCCGAGGTTGTTTCCTCGGGGAAAACACTTCGACGCTCAAGTCAGCAATACTCGGTATTTTAGAGAGAGATGCTCTCAAGGAGTAATTGCAGAGAGAGAAGCGTAGAGATTAATTACCTTCTTCGGAGGTGGTTGGGGGGTATTTATAGCCCCAAGTGCTGACATGTATCTGCACATGTAAGCCTCTCATTGGCCCATGTGGTGCTGCCCACGTGGGTATGTCTCCTCCTCTTGGGCCTGTGGGTGCGTAGTTGGGCCTGTTACGTGTGGCCCTAAGAGGGCGTTGGGCCTAATCCCAACATTACTCCCCCCTCGGTGTTCGGTTGACGAACTGGGTTGGATGTGACCATGGGTCAACATTCTAGCTAGTGACTATGACGGGCAGCTTTAACAGCTTACTGCCGACCTTGGCGATGGCCGAGCTGAGAGGTAACACGAAAAGAGGCGAGCTCGCGAGTCTGTAAGCGTAGGGGGGGAGCTGACATCCTTAACCGCACTAGTGTGGGCTTGTGGTGGCAACAAGCTGAAGTGATTCGCAACAGACGAGCTTGCACAAGGACCAGACATGTATATAACGCCCTTTCAGCTCGTCTATGTGGCGACCTGACCTTTGAGTATTACCGAAGGGCGACCAGGCGACGCCCAGTTAGCTATGATCATGAGGTGAGGCTACGCAACCTCAGATGCAGTGGGACTTGGGGTTTTTGACCACCACTTTATCAGCTCGCATGAGTAGTGCTGTCAGATAGGGCGACCTCAGGCCCCCATTGATTTAAGGAGAGGTTTGTGACCTGGTGTGAGTTGCAACTCGTGTAACGACCTGACAAATGTGGTTGTCGTCACGATATGTGACGAGCTGAATCTTGGGGGATTTTAGCATACGATCTACACTTGTGAACGAATTGGCACGATTGAGCCGATTTGGCGAATATGTCATCTTTGTAACGACCTGGTAAGTATGCTCACAATAGCGAGCTGGTGTGACAGTATAGGGTACACCTCAGCAGTTACGATCTGAATCTTGGGATTTTTTGAGTCAAGCAAATCTTTGAGGAGATACGATTGAACTTCCCATATCTCTTTGCCTTCCCCGTCATAAATGCTGGCTCAGCATTTGAGGGATGTGACAGCTAAAGCCGGCGCACGTTATGCAGGAGGGGCGTTAAGCGCCTGCCACGTGTGGGACGCTAGTTGGCGCGTCAGAAACACGCGTACGGCAATTAACAGTACCATATCCTTCTCTGTGTAACCGTTTCCTCTTTCATTGTCATTTCTGTGTTTGCTTAAACTTTCCAACATTCTCTGAAGCAAGAACGCTCCAGCTTGAAGAATCAGCACACCGAATCAACTTCGCATCATTTTCAAGTAAAATGGTTTCATTGAGAGAGCTTACAGAGCAACGAGGTAACCAGGGTAGAGAGGGAGAAGAGGAAGGGGTTTTGTCAGTAGAGCCTATCACAATGATAGTGCCGTCGGAGTTGCAGGATGTGCCGGAAACAATGGCGTCTGAGAGCAGCACCAGTTCCAGCGCCAGTGACAACGGTGGCGACCACCCTAGTGCGCCGTCGAGCAGCTCGTTCGAGGGGACACCTGGCCGCGAGGAGGGGGAAGGGGATGTAGTGAGCCATGTTTCAGATCGGCCTGTAATGGAAGAATGGGAGAGCAGAACCATCACGGGCAGGTTGGATAACCTGCGAAAGGCGCCAAAGGACCTGCCCGTCGAATTTAGGTTCCGGGCCGCGCTTCATCATGAAGTAGCAGATTGCACGCCCTCAATCAGCGGGTACAAAAAATTGGAGGATATGGTGAGGACGTATCATATTCCCCGGACAATACTGTTACGAACAGGCGCACCAAATGAGAGGGCTTGCACGGTGTCACAGACTGGCTGGATCCCAGTGTATGTGGACCACTTTGACGCCGGCCTGCGGTTTCCCCTGCCCGGATTGGTGTTCGACCTGCTGGCGGATTACGAGCTGGCGTTGACGCAGCTGACTCCCAACAGCATAAGGTTCATTATTGGCTTTATGCTGTTGTGTGAGCGATTAGAGGTACCTGCCAAGGCGATCGTGTTCAGGTCGCTGTTTCAATGCCGGCTGTGTCCTAACTCCCGAGGCGCGAAGTGGTACTACCTTTCCGGGAGAGACAAAAGCCAGCTGTTCAAGAATGTCCGGAACAAAGTGGCGAGGTGGAAGAGGCAATTTATATTTGTTCGCGACACGCGAACAGATAGGATAAACAACGACCTCGCTGCCCGGCTGTTAGAATGGCGCACGCCGAACACCCATATCAACTACCCTCAGCTGCTGCCCCGGGATGTAGATCTGAAGAACCAGCTGCTTGAGTATGCCAAGAGGGAGGGTCTGATAGATTTAGAAACCCTGGTTACCTCGGAGCAGCTCGCCGTGTTCGGGTTTGTCGATGTGACAAACCTGTTCACAGAAGGTATACTTTTATTAGATAGTACTGATTCTAGCCGGGCTAAGTCTTATGCGTTTTTTTTTTTTGTGCAGGAGAAATGAGTAGCATCCTAGAACGCCAACGACAGCGAGCTCAAAGCTCACAAGGCCGTGTGTCGGGCAGCGCACAACCCAGGCAGACACGGTTTGACGAGCGGCCACCTCCAGCGCCTCAATCACGTGGCTCGTCACACCGGGGATCCAGCTCGGCGTCCAGGCCGCGAGCTGAGCATAGAGCTGAAGTTGCAGCTCCGGGTGCACGTAGGCGTGCACGCGAGGAGACGGAGAGCGAGGAAGATGAGGTCCCCCTTGCTCGGCGTAGAACAAGCGGGGGGACTCAGCCCGCTCAGGCGGCCCGTCCTACAACCGTGCGTTCGCCCAACGCACCGTCAGCGACCGCGCGGGCAGCAGTTGAGCCCGCCTCTGCATCAGCTTCGACTTCGGGCCCCAGTATTGCTTATCCTGAGGGTTTCAGCTACGTGCGGGCGGAGTGCCAGCCCGCCATGGTGCAAGCCATGCACAGTTTTGTGCTCCCGGCAGATAGTCGGCGGGCAAAAGCGTTTGTGCAGCAACATGGCGGCCAGGTTGCCATGATCAAGCTGATGGATGTAAGTATTTGCTCGTACTTACTTAAACGTTTTATCTTTCTTTACTAGGTACTTACGATTGTTGCTGCTTGGCAGGCATTCAGCTACGCTATGGCGCTCTACGAGAGCGAGCAGGGGGTTCGTACAGAGAGCAGCGAGCTCGGTGCCAAGTGCAAACAGCTGGCCGCGGAGAAGGCTAGCCTTGTGGACGATGTGAATCGTCTGCAGGGCTCAGAAATGGCGAACCGAGTTGCGGCTGCAGAGAGCCGGGCGGATGAGCTCGCCAATAGGATCAATGAGCTCACGGAGGAGCTAGAGCAAGCCCGTGCGGAGAGAGAGAGCGGGATTCAAGCGGCAAAGGACGAGGTCGCTCGGGTTGAAGAGCGGGCTAAGAGGGCTGAGGACGAGAGGGACCGTGCTCAGACCGAGCTGGGTTCCCTCAGGCTCCAGGTCGCCGAGGCTGACAAAAACCTCAGCGCTACCGAAGAGGCGCTGAACGCATTGAAAGCTTCTCATGCGCGCTCCGTAGGTATTGCTCGAGCTCAAGGGGCGGAATGGCTGGTCGGCTCGTCAACTTTCCAAGACGCAGTGGTGGTGGCGTCTGCTAACATGACCACGGAAATCTACAACGAGATTCGTGGGAAGGTGCTGCACCACCGCCCAGATTTTCCAATCCGCGAGCTGGTCTTCTTTGACGAGGAGGAGCTTGACGAGCAGGGTAAGAGCCTTGCTCCCCTCGCTGACACAACCGTGAGGCTGAGATGGGATTTGAACGAGGAGGGCGTGCCCGTCTGGCCACCGTCCGTGCTGGAGGACGGGGAGGATCCAGCCGGACTGGCCTCATTTGATGCATGGGTAGAGGGTGCTCCTGTAGCTGAGCAGGAGCCTTCAAGCACCCCGCCCACCTCTCAGCCCGCCGCGGTGCCAGCCAGCTCACCCATCAGCGCGCCAACTCCCGAGCCCGCTGCT